TTATGGGTGGAATTAGAGAGCTCGATGTTGGGTGAAATAATGGGTGGAATTAGAGACCTTGGTGTTGGGTGAGATTATGGGTGGGATTAGAGACCTTGATGTTGGGTGAGATCATGAGTGAGGTTTGGGACATTGAGGGTGGGTGAAATTATGGCTGCAGGTATCACGATGTGAAGAATATCAATGAATTGCCGGTAAGCTTCGTGGTTCGGGTGTTCGATGGATATTTATGAAAAAAAATTTAGGTTATATGAGCGATGAATGTTCTTATGTGATAGTTTCTTATGATTTTATTACAATGGGCTCGGTAAAAACCATATGTGGTGTTTGCATAAGCAGAACGATGAGGATGAATCAAATTGGGAAGAACTTCGGGAAATAAGTTTCTCTTTGATGGTTCTGAAAGGAAAGTTGTATGATTAAGAAAACTATCGAGACGTTTGCTATAATAACAGAGCCGTCGACTTCTTGAACGATGATGAATGATATGTATTATCCGGAAACAAAGTATATATATATACGATCTGAGTTGGGTTGTTGGAATAACTTTCTAGAGTTGTTTAATCTTACTAAATTATGTGCTTAGTGGTCTATAATGTTGTCTTGTTTGCATCGTATCTATTATTCCTCACAGGATTGAGTGGAGTGAGGTCCAAAGGATTGAGGGGTTCCTTGTTCGCTAAATGTAATATATAATATGGTTAGACAAGGATATACGCCATTGTCTTCTCTTTCATGTATATTTTTTCTTTCGGTTCTGTTCACATTTCAACATTTTTTCTTTCTGATGTGGGATGGTCATTATTCATTCATTTGTCTTCATCTATTCTGAGTTAGTCATTTCGAATAGTGCAACTTCTAGCTAGAAACGATTGGCTCACAAGTATATAAAATATTTCTACCCTTTCGAGGACGCAAAATGTAAAAATATTATTTATTAGATAAAAATTATTTCTAAATTTGTTTAGTATTTTTCTCATATGAGCATCAAAAAAGGAAAATAAAAGTTACTTTTCATTAATTTCACATATGGTCGATATTTGTTTTTTTGTTATACAGATCTAAACAAGAATAAGTTTTTCTCCGAACAGATTTTTCATAATTAATTCTGGTACTAAAAGAATCAACATTTTCTATGATGACAGTACAATTTTTTCCACAGGTTATTACATCATTTATATTGTAATACTAATAAAGAAAATTAGGAGTTCTCTTTAAATAAAAGCTACGCAGTGAGATCATTTTTAATATAAAATTAACCTGTATTCTTTGTCTTTTTGAAAAGCAAAGCGTTACACGATATGAAAGTTTAATCTCATAGAAGATATCAACCGAGAATTTTTAATAAAAACGTTTCTCAACAGGTTTACTCATCTGAAATTTTTTTGTCGAGTTGGATCATTATAAGTGATAAATCGATAGTAACAGATATGAGTATAGTGAAAATGGGAGAATCTTTCAAAATCAATTTACCATCACAAATTTCTCTCCAATCTAAACATAAAATTGATTGACATTGATCATTAGGCACTAAATAACATGTTCCATTTGTAATTGTTAATAAATCATCTTTCGTTTCATCTTTAGCGTCAAATCGATCCCATAAAATATCTTTCAATGATCGATCAGAATCCAATGTATATTGACAACGATTTCCAAACCAATAATTATTCTTGTTTGAACAATTAACAATTGTTCCATTTGATTGTTCTAATAAATATTCTTCTATAATATCTAATGGTACATACCAATCGTATAATTGTTTGAATGAAATATTCATTCGACGAAGTTGATCAAACGTCCATTGTTGACTATTTATCGGTAAAATATCATTATTATTTTTCATTGGCGATTGTCGACAAAATGGAATACTATCAATATGTAAATCCTTTTTCATCTGAGGAGAATCGTCACCCTCTATTACTAAATTATATAAGCAATCAAAAACAGTTGAATTATTTTTAGTTATTGTTTCATATATTCGATAATTTCCATTTGATGTATTCCATAATAAACTTATTGAAATAATTATTTTAAAAAGATGCATAATATTTTATGTAAAAGAATAAAATGATTTTTTTAGTAGTAACTATTCTAATGAAATTACCATTTAGCGGAAATATATGTAAAACATTTAGTTCTTATTTCCGTTGTTTCAATGAAGAAAACCATCTGCTTATCAAATTCTTTGATATTATTTTTTACTTGTGCAAAATAATTTGGCGTCAATCTTACTAAAATAATAATAAGAGGACTTTAAATCTTTTATTTTATTTTTCATATTAATACGAATAATATTAAAAGAGAAGAAATACTTTAAATTTTTCAAATAAATTCCATATTTTTGTTGTTTTATTAAATAATTCATTGAATATGGTATAAAAACAGATATCTATATATATATTTTCGAATTACTGGTGTAAATGAAATGAGAATATTTAAGAAGATTACATTATCATCAATTACAGTGAAACAAGATACGACGTAACTTCTTCTTCATATGTCAACTGGAGTATGGAGAAGAAAAAAAGTTGATTTATAGTAAAGCGTTTATTAATAAACATTTATCAATTTTAAACTTGAATTTCGCATTATTTTATTCTAATTAATTAATGTACTAAACTTGATTATTTATTATTTTGCTACAATTCTCACTATTAGACGCTCAATAATATTTCGACATTGTATTTATTATAGTGTCATTGAGATGTTGTTTTTCTTTTCTTTTTCTCTCTCTCTCCTTTCCTTTCTCGTATAGATGATATATATATATATAAATGTTCCTCTCCTTCCTATGGTGCAGACGTCATACATATAGAAGTGTAAGCCGTCGGCTCCAACAAAAACGTCAGTTGCCAGCCGTCGGCTCCAA